AGGAGGAGGAGCAATCGTCGTACATTTAGTAGGGGGAGTTGGAATAGTCGTCGTAGTGGTGGTGGTAGTAGTAGTAGTAGTAGTAGTTTTCGTCGTACTAGTAGTAATCGTAGTAGTAGTATCAGTAGTAGTAGTAGTAGTAGTAGTAGTAGTAGTAGTAGTAGTGGTAGTAGGAGTAGTAGTAGTAGTAGTAGTAGTATATCGTAGTAGTCGTAAAGTAGCTAGCTGGTAGTAGTCATAGAGTAGTAGGTAACGTCTCGTGCAAGTAATTATTCTTCTCAGTATCTGTATTATTAAAGTAATAGTAGTAGTAGTAGTAGTAGTAGTAGTGGTAGCAGTAGTACAGCAGTGGTCACCGTAATCGTAGTAGAAACCGTAGTGTTAGTAGTAGTAGAAACAATCGTAGTAGTAGTAGTAGTATCAATAGTAGTAGTAGTAGTAGTAGTAGTAGTAGTAGTAGCAATAGTCGCAGTCGAAGAAAGTTGTTGTAGCAGTGCTGGTAGTAGTAGTAGTAGTAGTAGTAGTAGTAGTCGTAGTAGTAGTTGTAGTTGTAGTCGTCGTAGTCGTAATACTAGGAGAGTTTATCGTAGTGGTCGTCGTAGTTGTGGCAGTCGTAGCATTAGTCGTAGTCGTCGTAGTAGTGGTAATATTAGTAGTACTGTACTTGTAGTAGTAGTAGTAGTAGTAGTAGTAGGAGTAGTAGTAGTAGTAGTAGTAGTAGTAGTAGTAGTAGTAGTCGTCGTCGTAGTAGTAAAAGTAATCGTAGTACTCGTAGTACGGGTATTCGTGTTATTAGTGGTACTAGTCTACTCGCAGTAGTAGCAGTTGGGTCGTATTTTTAGTCGTCGTAGTAGTAGTAGTAGTAGTAGTAGTAGTAGTAGTAGTAGTAGTAGTAGTAGTAGTAGTAGTAGTAGTGGTAGTCGTATAGTCGTAAGTGGTAGTAGTTCGAAGTAGTCGTCGCTGTAATAATTACAGTTGAAGAAGCAGGTGGTAGTCGTAGTAGTAGTAGTAGTAGTAGTAGTATAGTAGTAGTAGTAGTAGTAGTAAGTCGTCAGTCGTAAGTAGTAGTCGTAGTAGTCGTAGTAGTATGTAGTCGTCGTAGTAGTAGTTAGTAGTAGTAATAGTAGTAAGTAAGTTCTAGTAGTAAGTAGTAGTAGTACAGTAAGTAGTAGTAGTAGTAAGTAGTAATAGTAGCAGTGTAAGTAGTCGTAGTAGTAGTGTAGCAGTAAGTAATATAGTAGTAGTAGTATTGTAGTAGTAGTAGTATAGTAGAAGTAATAGTAGTAGTAGTAAAATAAGTATAAATAAGATTGTAGTAGTAGTAGTAGTAGTAGTAAAGTGGTAGTATGTAGTAGTCGTAGTAGTAGTAAGTAAGTAGTAGTCCGTAGTATAGTAGTAAGCAGTAGTAGTAGGAGTAGTAATCGTAGTATTATTATGATAGTAGTAGTATAGTAGTAGTAGAAGTTAGTAGTAGTATTAGTAGGTAGTAGTAAGTAGTAATATTAGTTTTGGTAGTACTAGTAAAACTAGTAGTAGTAGTAGTAGTAGTAGTAGTAGTAGTAGTAGTAGTAGTAGTCGTAGTAGTAGTAGTAGTGGTAGTAGTAGTAGTAGTAGTCGTAGTAGTAGTAGCAGTAGTAGTCGTAGTAGTAGTGGTATTACTAGTAGTAGTAGTAGTAGTAGTAGTAGTAGTAGTAGTAGTAGTAGTAGTAGTCGTATCATCGGGCCCTTCCAGGATCGGCGAGGTGGTCACTCAGGTGACTTCCTCCGAAGACTACGCTGGTCTCTCCGAGGAAGCCTGCCCCCGGAGACTTTTGAGGCCACCATCTGCCTTCTGGAGGCCACAGAGCGGCGGAGCTTGCCAAATGGCCCGGCCGATGCGAACCATTGGCTTAGCGTTTCCGTGAGAAGAGCAGTCATGCAAGAACCACGCAAAGTTTACGGGGTCCCGACGTATACACCACCACCATCTCCGCCTTCCCTTCATTTCCAAGGGAGAGGAGAGGAAGGGGGTAGATGAGGGAGGAGGAAAAGAAGTGGTGGTGGGTGTGGTGGGGTATGATAGGATCCCGCAAATTCTCTCGCGGGGGCTAGTTTCGCGTCGTGGATCAAGTTCTGGTATTCCCAGGGCCCGATAATTGATCGAACTCTAGGAGGCTCATTTCTTGTTGTCGGACAGTATATATCAAACACACATACGGGATCCAGCGGAGTCTGTATATGTTTTTTCCGGCCTCCCGAAAGAGGAGATGACCGAGTTGCTGCCGGCAACCCACAGGAACCCGGCGGGTGTGCGCGAGGCGCTCGCTTCTCCGCAGTTGCAGCAGAGCCTGCAGGGGCTCTCGCAGGCGGGCGGGGGCTCCTCCCGCCTGCTCCTCCTCTTCCTCCTCTTCCTCCTTTTCCTCCTTTTCCTTCCCCCCCTACTCCGCCTCACCCCGACGTGCTCCTCCTCCTCCTCCTCCTCCTCCTCCTCAGGAGCCTCCTCTCCCTCGTCCTTCTCCTGCTTCTCTTCCTCCTCCTCTTCGCCCCCTCCTCCTCCTCCTCCTCCTCCCCCTCCCCCTCCTCTTCTTCCTTTTCCTCCTCCTCCTCCTCCTCCTCCTCCCTCCTCCTCCTCCTCCTCCTCCTCCTCCTCCTCCTCCCCCCCCCTCCTTCCCCCCTCTTCCTCCTCCTCCTCCTCCTCTTTCTTTTCCTCCTGCTCCTCCTCCTCTTCCTCCTCCTCCTCCCCCTCCTCCTCCTCCTCCTCCTCGTCCTCCTCCTCCTCCTCCTTCTGCTCCTCCACTTCCCCTCCTCCTCGTCGTCGTCGTCCTCCTCCTCCTCCTCCTCTCCTCCCCCCCTCCTCCTTCCTCCCTCCTCCTCCTCCTCCCTCCTCCTGCCCCTCCCTCCTCCTTCTTCTCCTCCTCCTCCTCCTCCCCCCTCCCCTCCTCCTCCTCCTCCTCGTTCTCTCCTCCTCCTTCTTCTCCTCTCTCCTCCTTCTCTCTACCTTCCCCTCCTCCTCCTCCTCATTCTCCTCCCCCCCCCTCCTCCCCCTCCTCCTCTTCCTCCTCCTCCTCCTTCTGCTTCTCCCTTGCTTCTCCTTTGCTTACTCCTCCTTCCCTCCTCCTCCCCCTCCTCCTTCCCCCCGTCCTCGTTTTTCTCCTCCTCCTCATCCTTGCTCTTTCTACTCCCTTCCTTGTCTTTGCGAATGAAATCTCCCTGTCGCACCCGGAGGCCAGTCTCGCCTGAACTTGCCTGAACTTGCCTCACAACTTATGGATTTGAAGCTTAGACGCTGGCAAACGTTTCACATGTGGAGAGCGGGTCGTTTTCGAAATGTGGCTATCGCCTTAGCGCCGCGCACATTCGTACTAACATATTGCACGAGTTTCACGTAGAGGACAACCTGTTTTCAATCTGTGGCTCTCGCCTTGGCGCCGCGCACATTCGTTTCACACAATTGCAAGAGTTTCACGGATGGAGGGCGATTCCTTTTCAAAATGCGGCTCTCGCCTTAGCGCCGCGCACATTCGTTTATAACATGTACAAGAGTCTCACGTATTCCCATGGTCAACGTACCACGAATGGTGTTTTGGAAGGGTTCAGGATTTTGCGGGTGCAACAGTTACGTTGATTCGCGGTGTTGAACTCCCAATAATGGCGTTCTGGCACGATCCACGGTCGTCCAGACGCAACAGTCAGATTGATCCGTGACTTTGGACTTCCGAGAACCATATTTTGGCATGCTTCAGGGTCTTCAAACGGTTGGTTTCCAACGAGGCAGTCCCTTCAATGGAAATGAACCGTTGTAGGGGTCTGCGAAGAGGGAGCTTGGAGGGAGGGTGTATTCCAACATTGTTGGTGGCTCTTGGGTTTACACTGGTCCTCCTCCTCCTCCTCCTCCTCCTCCTCCTCCTCGTCCTGCCCCTCCTTGTCCTCCTCCTCCTTCTCCTCCTCCTCGTCCTCCTCCTCCTCCTTCCTCTCCTCTTCCTCTTCCTCCTCCTCCTCCTTCTCCTCCCCCTCCTCCTCCTCCTCCTCCTCCCCCTCCTCCTCCTCCTCTCCTCCTCCTCCTCCTCCTCCTCCTCCTCCTCCTCTTCCTCCTTCTCCTCCCCCTCCTCTTCCCTCCCCTCCCCCCCGACCTCGCCCGGGCGGCGCCCATGAGCGGGTGTGTAGCGAGGGGTGCAGCCTCTCTGAGAGGGCGGTGGGGGCTGCCAAAGAGGCAGGAGGGATTCCCCTGAGGCCCGGGAGGCTTGGGAAGAAGTCGGGGGCGGCCAAGAGGGGGGTGATGACTAGGGGGGTGGGGGTGGATATCATGGCGGGGCCATTATACCTCCCCAGATTTCACGTCGCTTCTTCTTATCTTCATGCGGCCCTGGCCCCCCCCCCTGGGCCGCGCACGTGCCGCCGCCCATGACTTGCGCTCCTCTTGGACGCCCTCCCCGCGGGCCTTCCCAGAAGGCTTGGAAGTCCCCCAGCCTTTCGAGAAGTTTTCGAAACCTTCCCCGACGGCGCAAAAGACTTCTCAGAAGGCCGGTGAGCGTCTTCTGAGAAGATTCGCCGCCTTCTGAGAAGGCCTCATCCTTCTCGCTTCCCCGCCTCGCTCTCTCAGAGTTCCTGGGAGGTTCCATTCAGCATGGGCGCTGGTGCTTCCAGCACCGATGCTGAACTAAAACTCCCAGGGGTTCTGAGAAGCCTCCCGGGCCTCAAGCGGGATTTAGCAGGGCTATGCCTAGTTTGTTTGTGACCACGGATCTACCAGTCAGATTCACGGTCAGAAACCCGCTTAATTTGGCATGGCCCCGCTGAGTCCTGTTTAATTCTGCTTGATCTGGCTTGGTCCGGCTCAGTGCGGCTTGATCCGGGCTTAACCCATGCTGGACCGGCCTAGTGGCCTCTTAATCTGGACATATAGCCCTTGATCGTTCTCGCGAAGACCTTTCAGGAGTTGCTGCTTAACCTTATCGGCGCCGCCAGTCTTCGCGTCGCGGAAACATGACGACGGATATTCGTCGACATTCGTCTTCGGCCCCTGGGGGCCCTTTCACAAGCCCTGGGGCCGTAACAAGCACGTATCGGAGCCCGAGAAGCCGCGATCCCGACCTTCGGGGAGCCAGGTTGCGAAACAAATAACGCGACGCTAGATGTGTCTGGTCCCCCTTCCTCCGAATCCTCCACCTCCCTCGTCCTCTTTCTCCTCATCCTCCCTTATGGCAGGACGCCCGTTTGCCGCCGCTCCCACAGAAGGGGTGGCCTGATGAGCTGAGGATCGAAGACTTCTTCTACGCTCGTCTTCTCCTTCATCCCTGCACTTCCTTCCGTTGCAGCTGTGGCTCGGCCAGCGTCAGCCCTCAGGAGGCGCCCTGGCGCGGAGTTTAAGCACATCCTCCCACCCCGTCCTTATCTTCTGTGGGGACCGTTTGCTAGCGATGGACCCCATTGTCCTCCTCTTTTTTATCCTCCACGGACCCCCTTCTCCTCTTCCGTGGGGATCGCGCAACCTGGCTGGGCCCACTGGGTGATGACCTCTTCCTCCTCCTCCTCCTCCTCCTCCTCCTCCTCACCTTTCCCCCTTCTCATTCCTAGAGATGGGGAAGCAGCTGGAGGGGCCAGAGGCTGGTGGGTGCATAGAGAGGGCGAAACAAAAGAGTAGTGGCCCTCTCCGGGAGCCAGCAGCAGGGGCCTCGGACTTTGGGCGGATGGTTTTTCGCTTGACCCTGTCGCCGCGGTTTTTCACAGCTCCCGGGGCCATCAGAAGCGAGGCTGGAACGAAGACTTTCCCCTGGTGGATGGGGAACTCTGCGAAGCCCACAAGTCGAATCTGCTGGAGGTCTAGGCTCTTGCCTCTCTCCCTCCTCACGATCTTCCGCCCCCCATCGTCGGGATCCACCTCTTCGTCCTCGTCCCTCTTCTCCCTCTCCCCTCCTCCATCTTGATCCTCGTGCCTTTCTTTTTCCCTCTTTCCTGTTCTCTGTCTTCTTCATCATCATCCATGCAGACAGGGGCGCTGGTTTCTTTTCGCATCGGCTGAGGAAACCTCCTCACCCTCCCTTCCCTTCTCTTTCCCCTTTGCCCCTGGATGCGCTCCGACCTGGCAGGACCGACCCTTTTGTCGCTTCCCGCAGCGACGTCGTCCGCCAGTCTCTGGAGGAAGCGGGCCAGATCTGCAGCAGCAGCAGGCCGTCCAACCAGAACCAGAAAGGGTTGGGCCGTCAGCCCATGCGCGCCATCACTGCTTCGGGCGCACCAGCCAGACGCACGCCCGCTCTGCCCGCTCCTCGTCGTGCTGCGCGGCGGCCGACGAGCAGGCTCGGGCAGCGCGGCGGCCCGTTCGCCCGCCGACGCGGGGGCCGCGCAGCCGGGCCCCGCGTGGGCTGCCATCCCAGGACGGCTCGAGCACATCCGTCGTGCTCGAGTCTGCGCGTGCGCACGATCGGACGGAGCTGGGGCGAGGGCCAATCCGTTCCAGAGCGTTCCGGAAACCCCTTTCGGAGCGTTCCGGAGCGCTTTGAGAAGGCGGCCGCGGCGCCCGAGACATCTTCCGGAGCCGCCGGATCTCAGAGATTCTCGATTCGTCCTCGCCCGATTCGATCCTCGTCCTGGCTCCGTCCTACAAGAGGGCGAGGGCGTTGCCGTCAGCTCCTCGCGCAGCGCCCGCGAGGGTGGCGGGCACTTCCCGTCCCAGCCTGAGCGCAAGATTCCACCGTGGCGCTTTGTGTGACCGTTGCGGCCATAACTCCGATTGGTTCGTGCGCAGCAGTGCCAACCCCTGTCCTCACACGTTCGGCCACCGATATACCAAGTCCCCTTTGACTTCGGCCGTGGGCGCGCTCCATCCGTACTGCAAAGCCGACGCCGATCGCGTGCACAGCGCGATTGAGCTGCCCCAGGGGCCCTGCGACGGCCGCCATCTGGGTGCGCACCGCCGTCCACGGGGCTGGGAGCCCACCGAGACCGCCGCCCTGGGCGGGGGGAGCAGTCGTTCCAGAGCCTTCGCTCCGCAGCGCTCTGGAACGGCCGCGGCGCCCGGCACATCCTCCAGCCCCGCTGGATCTCAGATGTGTCCGACTTGTTATGTGTTTTGGTGGGAGGATATCCCAAGCTCCCCTCGGCCTCAAGCGGTGTGCGTTCAGAGCAGGAGCGCAGCACAGCCACATCTAGCGCAGCATTGACAGTGTAGCTCCGCATGCGTGTCAGTTGCTCCAGCGAGCGAGGTCCCCGATCTTGCCTCGGACGCACAAGGACATACTAGTACTATAGGTCCGCCTCGGAGGCATGCGTCCGACCTGAACAAATATCATCACCATCATGCAAGATATCGTTTTCCGAGCGGTACGGCCAGAAAACGCCCGCCACGGAGCCTACACTCTACCATTTG